TGTGGGGCGGCGTGGGGGGGTGGGGGGTGGGGGTGGGGGAATCAACATTGACCTAATACTGACATGGAAATAAGGACAATTTTACATCAGCTATGTACACCCATCACATTTTTGTGCCCGAGGAAAACCTCTTCCTTCTCCTCCCAGGATAAAAATAAATAAAAACGTAAAGAAACTGCAAAGAATGAGGAAAAGGGATAAGGCAGCAGAATACAGTCTTACGAGATTATCTCCCTTCTAAAGATGAGTCAGTCTGCAGGTTGGTTACATTTTGTTAGAGTGACAGTGACTACATAGAGGATACAGATAATAAACACTAACAAGTCAAAATACTGCTTAGCCGGGATTTTTTTTTCTTTTTTGAAGGTCTTCTCCATTACTAAACTGAATTAGGCCTTCCATCTACAGCAAATGTACTAACATACAATATAATACATTCCTATTTTCCTGCTCTTCCCGTACCATGAGGCAGAGAGGACTGAATTTGATCTACATGAGGGAAATAGCCACCTATGCTTCCTATACATCCAGGCAAATTCCTCTCAGGTCAGTGCATGTTCCTGTCTGTCACAGTGCCTGATGACATCTTTAAATACTGAGTGTGCTAACACTCCATTTGCTTCCTACAAACTGAGAAACTGAAGTGCTTGAAGGCCAGCAACCAAATCATTTAGCTGTTTGAGTGCTTGCCACAAAGACTTCAGCACTATTTGAGGCCATCGTCTGTAGCTTTCTTCATATTGCTACTTGTTTCAAGTCTCACTTTTCCCTCAGCTTTCTTTCCTTTACATACTCATTGGTACATTCGCCTTCCTTCCCTCCCCACCCTCCCCTCCACTCTTCTCAGTGAGTGGCCAGCTCAGGCTCTGTGGAGCGCGTGCTGTAGCCATTGGCAGGCTGGGGCAGCGCACTGCCATCCGTCTGCTGCTCCTTTGGTGCGGCTGTGGGCGGGCGTGGTCTCTGAGAACGGGAGGAGCCCGTGAATAGTCGCAGAGCGCCCCTGCAAATTAGGGAGAACCAATACAGCTGGGGGGCCATGAGCAGAGCAGCACCGAGGTTACAGTGCCATGGCACTGTGAAGGGAACCATGTGGAAGGGGATGGAGGCGTACCTGGTTAAAATCAGGAGACATAAAGGATTGTTCTGCTGTAAACATGTTCTGAGTCTTATTTCCATAATCCATAAGGTAGAGATCATGTGGCAGTGCAAGTTACTAACCCCAGCTTAGCAAGACAGCAGAACATGAGAAAACAGATGGAAAGAAAGACATACCTTCCATAGACGTAGTAGAGGTAAGGGAAGAGGAGGACTCGACAGATGAAAAAAGTGATCAGCATAAGAGCCCCATTCACTTTGTGCAGGAGAGTGTGTTGCTGTTTGTACTGAGAGCGGAAAAAAACAGAGGGAGAGGTCGAGAGAGAGGGAGAAAGAAAAGCAAGCAGTAAAGTTTGGTAAAAGCTGACGATGTTAATCTCATTTGCCATCGTAATATTGTTAATACCAACATTGTTATATTTGTTAATACTATCTGCATGGACTGAACAAGTGGCGATGGAGAGCACAGTATGCCATGCTGCTGGTTGTACACTGGTTGATGTCTACAGGGGGCAGTAGGGCAGGATGTGCGTCAGTGAAGCAGTCCTTTTTTTACTTCTCATTTGTTTACAGCAGATGACTGAACTTTTATCTTGAACAGTCAACCTGCTTCAGTGAGATAACACTGAGAACAAGCTCACATGCATTTACCTACAAAAAGGTTTTCCTCTTCTCCATTCACTTGTCTCATTTCCTAGAATTACATGGTATCCCATCAAAGAATCCACTATTGTTTTGTTTTTTTTATTCTATAGGTACAAGAGGGCACAGCTGTTGTTTATCAAACGACCACATGTGCTGTTGTCAGGGACGGGAGGGGCAGGGTGCTGAGTGATAGAGGATAGAAGGACAAGCTGATATTGTATCTACTGAATATCCAGCCTAAATACTAGGGGCTATATTCAGAGGCTAACAGCTGTAGGAGTTTCAGATGAGGGACAAGCAGAAAGCAATGGAGGGGCAACCTTCACCCAGACACTGAAACATTGTACACACTCCTACAGAAAACCTAAAACAGACAGAGGTGGATGCAGCTCCTACAATGTGCATTCACAAAAACTGTGTTACCGATTAACGACTGATGTTTCTGACAGTGTTGCTGTTCATGTGAGACACAGTCAACGGGGGCCGATGGGCATGAACAAGCTGCATGCTGGGAATGAGTGGAAATATAATCTCCATTGAATAAAGAAGGAAGAAAGAAGTGGAGAGTGCAGAAGAACTTTAGTGTGACACATGCGCATGCAACAACACTTAAAACTTTGAGGCTGAACAAGGACACTTACCTGGATAAGGATTTTTCCTAAGCAGACAGATGGAGTGCTGAGCTCAGCCATGAACATTATACCCTGGAAATAATCTCCCTTTCCTTGCCGCCAAAACTAGAGAGAGAGAACTAATTATTTGTCAGTTACAGCTTTGTTCCTTTCTTTTCTAGCAGATTTGCAATAAAATATAAGTAAATATTTTTACTTAATTCCCAGACAATACACAGTGAACAGTGAGCTTGTTTCATAGAGGTTGGTCTGATCAAGTAGTAACTCATTCTTGTTTTGTTGCTTTTTCCTTGCTTTAACAGTAAACTGAATATCTTTGAGTTTTTTTATGTTTTACAGTAACTGATTGAGAAATAATTGTCGATTACAAAAATAATTCTTAGCTGCAGCTCTAATACAGTGATTTTGGAAAAAGTTTAGTTCCAAGCTTTTGAGGAGATGTTTTAACACAAGGTTGTCTGCACCACTCAACATACATTCATACTGGTTACTGCATTAGTTTGTCTCACGTTGGGAAACCTTTAAAGGTGACAAAACTATCTAGAAGTGGGTAGCTGCATTTAGATAAAGCAATATTTTTGCTCAACTCTCAGCCCAACAGAAAGAGCAATATGTGACAGTTACCACAGAGACGGGGAAGCAGACGGTGACCATGACAACATGGTGCAGCACCATGAGGAACTCGCGACGCAAGTAGCTGGTCAGTGCTGAGCTCATGTGCTGGGGTGCTGCAGAGGCCTCCTCGTGCCCTTTAACTCGTAGCTTGTACCAGTAGCACATGAACATTGCGTAGATGTCATACACGAAGTAGGGAACAGCAAACATGATGTAAGTGCTAGTCAGCCAGTGCCTGTGTGGAGAAGAAGAGATGGTGGATCTCAAAAACAGAAATAAAGAATGAACAGTACGAGCTAAAAAAAAAAATCACTCAAACAGACCTTTGATACTCGTAAGAACTTGTTGGTAACTAAAACACAGTTTGACATATCCATAATAACCAGTCGAGTGATTACTCTCGAAACAGAACTGCTTTTCCCCTCTGCAATCCAAAAAAATCTCAATGGAACTCATTTCACCTGAATTTAAGACCCTCTTAAAAAAAAAAAAAAGTGAGAAAATGCTAGGGGCAGTTTTAAGTGGAAAAAACGTCATGATTGCTGAACTAAAAACTGCTTAAACACTTTGTCATTTACTGCTCTCTGACAAGGCATCAATGTCAAATTCGATTTTTGGTTTACATTTTAATTTAGCTCATATATGAACAGAAGCCCAGATCCCCAGGTGCCTTTGCCTGGTACATCTTAAAACCCGGGTTAACTGACTTGTTACATACTAGACAAGACAGGCTGGTCGAATGTGACAGAATATTTTCTAATAAGCATTTCCTGACTTACTGGTCCTCGATGATGTCCTCGCAGGAAGAAGCAATGATGTAGCCAGCTGAGGAAGCCATGACTGCCTGAACTGATGACACCAACCTGGGAGCACACAATGGCAAGCAAACAAAATAATGCATTTCTCATTATCCAAGTTCTAGACTGTCTAGATAGCACATGGAAAGAAAATAGTGCCCTTCCGCTTTTATGCTGAAACAATGCAGATGAAAGCACTTGGTAAAAATACACCCACAACAACCTGTCATGCTCGGGAATCATGCAAAGAAATACACGTCTACACAAGTCTCAACAATTTGATGACACTGTAGTAAAGTAGTAAGTACTACACACAGTAGAAGTACTTGAATTTTTGTAGGCACAAATGTGAGTGCTGTGTAACTGCATGGCATGTTGGTATCCATATGGTTCTCACATGCAAGTTCACACAGAAAACAAAAACCAAGTGTAAAAAGGTCTCACCTGGCAGACACAATGACTGCATCTCCTTCGCTCCATCTCAGTGCTGGGATGGACTTCAGGCATTGCTTGGACAGCAGGAAAAGGCCTGGAAAGAACACAGACCCAGCAGCTAGGATGGTCAGCATGGTCCCTGGTGATCTGTCTGAGAAGCAAAAAGTTCAGCGGGCAATCTGGTACTTGAGATCCGACGATCTTTCCCCTCTCTGAAAAACACAAAACATCAAACAGTGGATAAACAGTTCATATTGATCTCACTGGTGGCAACTCCCACATGTAAACATTTGGCTGCCTTTACTGCATTAGCAAACAAAGCACTCTATCAAAGTCCAATGTATGTGGCAATATGTTATTCTAGCTTTAATGAAAGCCTTGCCATGTGTACAATAAAGATGAAGTATGGCAGAGGAAAGGGTTATCAAAGACAGTCCAGGCACAATGTGGAAAATGGGCTTATATAAAAGTTGAAAGAGGACAGTTCATGTGATAGAGAGCAGGGAGACTATATAATTACCAAGTACAGAGTCAGGGGCAGAATATCAGATGGAAGGCCCTTTTGTGCACCATACTGCCCTGACCATCTGAAAGCGCTATTCACATTTATTCCTGGGACAACCATGTGGTAGTTCCATGCGGTTTTGCAGTTTGCTTACAGTAGACTAGCTGACTCATTAAAAAGTTGAAATCCATTAACAAAATACGCATTGCGCTACTTTAAAGTCCTGAACGTCGAAAATATCGACATAGGTATGAGCTGCTGGTGCATATAGTTCCTGATAACAACGTTAGCTAATATTACCTTTATGTAAAAAAAAAACCAAAACAGAAAAAACGTTTAGCAGCCGAGCTTTGACAGGTAGCTCACAAAATAAGCAAACCGAGACCGGCTTGAGATTGACCTGAAACCAAACTACTCTGTTATTGGCGCCGATTTGCCAACCCGTTAATGTAAACGTTAGCTTAAGCAACTTTGGCTACATTATGCAATGTTAAGTCCAAGAGCACACATGTCAAATCTATTTGGTACAGAACTAACGCTGCCTTAGCTATACTCTATGCTTTCTATTTAATACACCAGCTAGTTAAGCTAACAATAACACCAGCCAGCTACAGGTAACGCAAATTAACGAGCTTTACCATTAGGTTGTCAACTTGTTAGCAAAAAACTGGGTCAGTTAGCATGCAAGTATGGGGGTCTAATGAGGAGAGACAAAATTGCTAACATTAAATGTCACCCCTAACCCTTGGTAAGCATGACCAACTGTCTGCGCTGCTGAATCAGTGCTAACAATGACGCTAGGACCGTTAGCTAACGTTAGCATATATCCGAGACAGAGCCGTAACAGTTAGTCACCGCTGCCTTGGTTAGCAACCATTTCGTTTGGAACACATTGAAAAAACAGTAGTTAGCAAGTTGATGACACCCACAAACGACAGCTAATACCCGAATGTGCCACTTTCTACGTTTTGTCACTCGTTCATGAAAACATTACGTTGACGCCAAACTGTTGTTACCTTGTTATTTGTTTGTAGCAGTTAGCAGTAGCAACTGAGCAAACCGATCCCCGTGCACGCCAACCATGGCTAACTGGCTAACAGATTTGGAGTGTACACATGTTTAGAAAAAAATAAAAATCTTAAACAGTATTTACACAGAGACTCTGCGGAGTCCGGTCAGCGGCCAGTCGAAACTCGTGTCCTGCAGAAAGCGTTTAACGTTAGAGATGTCCCAGGGCTCTCCGCCTCGATGATCCGCATGTTTATGTGGCCACTTCAATGTCTGAAGGGTAGCAGCAGCGAGCTAACGCTAGCTTGCAGCAACTTAGATCGAAATCTATGCGAGGGCAGCTCACTGAGAGCATTGGTGACTAGCTTGTTATCTAGACAGCTTAAGCAAATAGCTAATTAAAACAAGGCAAACCGACGAAAGTCACAATGACACAATCTGATCCAGGTGTCAAGGTAACGCTAGCTGCTCCAGCCGCTATGTCATCGCATCTGTCTCGCAACAGCAGAGCTGGGCTGCCTCTGCCTGAGCCTCACAGATGCAACGTTGACTCAACACTGTGGACTGCTGCGCCAGCTAGTTCCTACAGGTCCAGGCAGAAGCTCATGTCATGACGAGAAATTTGCACCACTCACTGCACTGCATTTTGTAAATTGGGTTTTGCTGTTTTCCGTGAAGGGAAATGCTGAATGGATTCACCATAAGGAGACCGTCTATTCCAGCTGCATTCATAGTTTACAATATCTATGCTGTCCACTTAAAAATACAGTGATTTAGATGCAAACAAAATGATCTAGCATTTATGTATTTAATTCAGAAAATCGATGTAAATCTGTAAAAAGAATTAAAGACTGACAGGTAGTTGCCTAGCCAATGATGTCATCTGTGTCTGTACAGAGAGTAGTGTTTATCTTTGACCTGTTAATCATTTGGCCTTTGCATCGAACAGCATTTGCAAATAAACCGCTCAGTTATCAGGTCTTAGCTGCACATTGTCAGAGATGTTTGGTATGTTTGTAGGTTCATGGTCCTAGGGTTTTGCAGTCTTGCAAACCTTGACATGTTTAGAGGCCTGAAGATTACACGCCAATCGTGCAACTTTGTTCAAGCTTTGCAGTGATAACCCAGCTCTGTCCTTAAGGTTAAAAGGATATGGTAAAACAGTAACACTGGCTTGGACTGTTTCTTCAAGTCGGGAGGAACTGTAAAAGAGAACAAGAAGTTGTTCAGTGGGAAAAGTTTTTTTTGTTATCACTGATTTATAACCTATAATAAAACGCAACATTGGTTAGTAGAATATCTCCTTTTGGTTAGCTGTTATATCAATTGTGTACTCAAAACAATACATCCTGTGTCTACTTGTAATAGTTTGTGCAGTAGTAAGAACATAAATCAATACACATACTGTGTATTTAACACACATACAGTATATATGGCATATGTTATTATTATTAAGTGCATTCCATAAGTTATTTTGTGACCAAGTGTTTGAAAGAAGTTTTTGGTCTATCTACTTTAAATTGTCTCATGAACTTAAATTAGTGTTTTCATACATGTCCCAGAATTTCTTTCACTTCTCTGTAGAGAGTGTGTCTGAACCTGTTGTTTTCAGCTTTACAGTGGTGCTCACAGTGATAACATAGTGTAGTAAGAGCAAGATATCATGTTTGTCAAGTAAAGAAACGCTGAGAGTTGTTGCCGCTGCATTCCTTTGTGGTCTACTTAAGCTGTGTGAATGGGATTTTCATTGTATGATTTTTAAACAGTGTAGCAGAAAAGCTGTATTTAAAAAGAAGATATACAGGGAAAGTGATCTCTGCACATTTATATTGTATTCAGACAGGATATTGACTCAAAGTACCTTATGGTAAATGTATTGAATCACTCGGTTTTCGGTCAAGCTACTGTACCTTTAGCAGGCATTTCTTAACTTTTTATATTTATAAATAAAATTTACCAAATGTGTTGACAGTGTGCAGGAACTTTTTTTGTTATTTAGGAAAAATGCCTGTTCTTTGATAATGAAAGGTGGATATCAAAACCTAACAGTTACCATGAATTATTGGGAAACCTTTTAGTAACTTGTGCTGTAGCTGAGCTGAATGCATCACTTTTAATGTGTGTATAGATACATTTGTTTTTCATGTATTGTGTGGTCAGTCCTGATGGCACACTGTGTCCCACTGAAAGAGATAACAGGGGAACACGTGTACTGGTTATCTGTGCCGATGACATATAGGGCATGTCATGAATTCCTATTGTGCACCATTAAGAAATGATCAAGTCATTGTACATTAACAACAATGAATAAATGTTAATTAATTAACTCACAGTTACATCATACAAACATTTTTAGCCTTTGCCACTAAGTATTCCCAGATTCCAGTTGCATAGAAAAAGATCCTTTAGGAAATGCATATAATCAGCCTCTCTGACAGCAGACACTTCTTATTCCTATAGAACTATGAAGCTGTTTTTTTTGTTGTTGTTTTTTTTTATCATTTTCAAAATCAAACTGCAAACAATGACATGTTGCTGCATGATCCATAGTCTTTGTTTATGTCACATTTACAAGCTACGGTATGGAAAAGATTCATTCTTATGATTTATTACTGCTTATGTTTTCAACCGGTTCTGTTTGTTTCTTCTAGTTATTACGTTTTGTGTTGTAGGAGTGTAGCACATTGAAGAGAATCATGCACTGAAACCAAAGCAATCTTGCAGGTGCCACTTGACCAGTCGGGGTAGATTGGACGGACATGTCTAAGCGTATGTTGACAGTGTAATGACCTGACGGGTATAATGGTGTGTCAGGATTCTGATTGGAACTTGTCACTTCTACTGATTTTTTCTGGGTCATACTGCAACTTATACATGTTTGCATCGGACTATCAGTTCAATAAAAGCTTCATATTTCTATGAGAATCAGTGTTCTTCTACTTTCCCTTTTTCTATATAACTGGACTCCACCTAATTTGGTGGCATATAAATTAATGAATGAGGTAACTGAGAGTTAATGCTCATTAATTAATAAGATATTAAGATTTTCAAGTAATCACATAAACTAGTAATAGTGATGATTAGGAATTCATGACACATCCTGGATGAAGTCATTATGCGTTATGCATTAGTTATGCATTACTTCAGCATGTGTTTTGTGTTACCAATGATGGCTAGCAAGACAAATATGGAAGAATCACAACATGCAGGTCAAACATCCGGCTGGACAACATCACATCCAGACCGAATGACTGTCTGTGAATCATGCCAATAAGAAGCTGTGGTGCAGAAGTGATTATCTAGGTGAAAAGATCAGAACACAGAACAATGCCTGTTTACCCCTTTTACTTTAAATTGTCCAAATTACAAAATAATAACATGATCTCTACTTCATCTACAAAATAACATAATATTTATGACTGTAGTAAGCATCATTGATTTTTTTTTGCTCTAACAACCTTTTAGACATGCATACTGTTGAGAAATATAAAAATATAAATATAAATACATCCCATTAATATTCTTAATGAATCCATGACTAAGATTTGAAATATTTCATCATAAAAGAATTAAAATGCAGTTGAGTAAGATAAGGCATTAAGATGTATCACAAGAGCTGTACAGAATCCTAGAGTAGAGGTATTATTTTTTTCTTAGTGTAATGGAGAAAACCTAAAATTAACTGTTTAATAAATCACTACTTTTTCTCAACAGGAAAAACACATTTCCAAAGAAAGAAAAGGAAGAAAGAAAGAAACAACTCTACAAATTTCAAGGTAACATATTAACACAAAACTGAAAAAGCACTCCAGTACAAAACCAGGATTTGTTTACAGCATACCTAGTGGTGTTGTCAAACTGCCATTGTACTTCTGACTTGTGACTTTATAAGCCCTTTCCTGACACCACACATCACTCACAATATAACTCAAAGCAACCAAAAAATATCCAATGGACAAGTGACCATTCCTCACATGATTAATGTGGAACGATAATGACTTGCGTTCAGAACATTATGTGCTATACAGAGAGTTAAATGACTAAATCTAATGCATAAGTGTCACTCATTGGACTGGTACATAGAGAAAACAAAGGACTATGGCAATGACCGTTACAATCAAATGAATGGCCAACGATGTTAAAAGTTTTCTGAATAAAATCAACACTTTTATAAATATCATTGTTTACAGCCAACTAACTTAGTGGAACTGCTAAAAGTTTCTTTTGTTATGACAGCTCCCTAACAATAAGCATGACTGAGCTAGCTTGTTTTCATGCAAAAGGTAGTTCTCAGGTGCAAGAATCGCCATGTCAGAAGCTGAAGTGTTGTTGATTAGCAGTTATGTTTTTTGTTTGTTTTTTTTTTTTTTCAAATGGCCAGACTCAGAGAGGAAGACTCAGAGCAAGAAAATCCAAGAAATCTCAAACCCATTTTGATCCTCACTGAATCAAACAATAACAATTTAAGGTGCTTGACACTCCTGAACACAACTCTATTCTTACCTGTGTACTTTTAGGAAACAAATGAACAAGTACATCCCACAATACAATTACACACGGACCATAACGTGTATGGTCTTCTGTCCTGATCTAGAAACAGCCCTCTAGAAACTTAATAAACTAGCATTACAGCTTCAAATCAAATGTTGATTTTAGTTTTGTAGACAAACACGCTAGCATGCTAGAAGAGCCCTGACTTACACACACCCAAACACACAACTTCCCTTCTAATGTGTCTCTTCCTTATGTTTTCCTAGAGCTACTCTCACCCTACTGCTTCTTTTTAACGCAAGCCATTTGGATTCTCAGTAAGTGAGCGGCAAAATGGAGGTAAGATCAGAGCTGGTGTGAGATATACAGTACTTGGTGCACTTGCAGAGAGCAGCCAATGCCAGGGTTGAGGGAAGAGGGGGAGAGAGAGAGAGAGAGAGAGAGAGAGAGAGAGAGAGAGAGAGAGAGGGCAGAGAGGGGAGAGTAATACAGTAGATGCTCACAATACCACAGTTTCATTAGAGTCTTAAATGCACAAGAGCATTCAGGAACATTTGGACGACACATCCATGTTTGTCGTTAGTGTCAGTGAACCTGCTGCAGCCACAGAGGTCCCTCTTTCCATGACTTCATCGCTCTATTAATACAGCTCTTCTTTTTCCTCCGTTTCTCCGACGCTCCAGCTCTGCAGCTCTGAGGTGAAACTGCCCTTGAGCGCTGACTGGTGTTAATCTCCCCCACCCTTAATCCTAACCTTACCTATAAGTGGGGACATGACAAAACTGAAACCGGATCAGCATCTACGAGTAACTTCAACCTTCTCTAACCTTGCCCTCTGTTAAGGGACTGAGGTCGTTATTGCTGCGCTCTCTATTGCTAACTGTGGGGCTGCGGTGCTGCAATGCTAGAGCAGTCTGTGACAAGCAGGTCCACCACCGTGTTACCAGTGACATACACAGTGGGTGCTGTCACCATGTTGCTAAGGGAGACGGAGCTGCTGGCAGCCACATTAGAGGTGACGGGGCTCGGGGCACCCTGGTTGTTGCTATGGGTGCCCATGTGCCCCTGGAGTTGGGTGGGCGTCTTGCAGTGGACGCCACACAAGTGGCAGACGAGTACGCCACCAGAGGCTGTGCCGCCAAAGCCCCCTGGACTGTCCTTCCACTCCTGGCCATGGTGCTTCTGGGCATGGACACGAAGGTACGTCAGTGTGGTGAAGCCTGATGGAGGAGAGGAGAATTATTCCAGTGAGAGACGTTAGAGCAGAAGTTCGCTCAGCGCTAAGCCAAACAAAGATCCAAGCAAGCAATTACAGGTGAGCGTGGAATTATGTGCGTCTGCTCTGCTTTCTGTTTTATCATTATTACATTTTTAGATGTCAAGGGAGACAAGGGATGAAACAGGAAACAAGGGAGAGAGATGCAACAAAGGTTCCTAGTCAGATTCGAACTGAGGACCTTGTGGTTCACGTTCAGCATCCTAACCATAAACTTACTGCGGTTACAGAGATGGCAGGCGTGGTGCTGCGACTGGTTGTGCACCCTCATGTGATCTGTGATGTAAGCAGCAGACAGGAGCTTCCCACAGATGTGGCAGGGGACCTTCTCCTCATGGCGAATCATATGCGCACGCAAACGATCCTTGGTTGCAAAGCTGGACTCACAGGTCTGAAAAAGAGGAGGAGGGGACTGATGAGTGATTGCTGAGAAATATACAAAAAGTAAAATGCTGTGCACAGGTACGGGCTCTTCAACAGTTAACTTTTAAAGTCTGAAAAGATTAAAAATGTGTCAACAAAAAGCAATGTCAGTAATCGTGTGTGAGATTTATATAATTTTCAGTTTCACATTTTATAACATTTAAACCAGCCAGCGTTCCAGTGACGCATTGAAGATGATGACCATTGTTCAAACACTCTTTGTGGAAAATAACATATAAACACACATACATATAATGTACAGTATGTGATGAAGTATGTCTGTCACACACGTCACGAGACTCGCTTTATCCAGTTCAGTTCATATTCATATTCTCAAAGGTCATTTACTCATGCCAACAGATGTCTGTATGAGTCAGGTGATGTATGAGCCAATGACCTTGACTTCACTGTTTACATGAATGGACTTAAAAACAGATGGCGTGTACAGTGAGGATATTTGGCAGGGTGAACATGACGTACGGGGCATTTGAAGGGTCTCTCTGAGGAGTGCACCTGTCTGACGTGACTGTTGAGATGGTCAGGCCTTCGGGAAGAAAGAGAGGAAACAATTGGTGGTGAAGAATGTAGTACATATTAAACTCCTCACACAGAGTGACAACTTAAACCGTTTGACAGTATCACCTGGAGAACGCTTTGCCACAGTGGGGGCAGACGTAGGGTTTTTCCACACCACCCTGGTGGGAGCGCACATGGTGGCTCATGCGGTCCTTCCTCTTGAAGCGCTGCTGGCAGATGGGACAGGAGAACGGCTTCTCGTCCGAGTGGGACAGGCGGTGGCGGTTGAGATGGTAGACGTCGCGGAAGGCCTTCCCACACGTCTCGCAGGCGTGGTTCTTTCTCACCGGGTTTGGGTTGGGGTTTGTGGGCCGCTGAGACAAAACAGACAAGCAGATAAACACACTCCAGAGTTTAGATGGGAAGCATTTTCCGCACAGATCTGCCGTTATATACACAAAGAGAAATACATTCAGTGTCAACATTTTCATATTTTTATATCTTTTGTTGAAACCATGCAAATGCACACAGATATCTTTTGCCTGATTTGCACCAAAGTTGCATGACTGACTACTTCCTGCTGGACGTTAAGTCTTTATCTGCTTTCACACTGTTTGTGTTACAGAGAACATGCAGGGGAGCGTGGGGGGCTTCTAGCACAGTGTTTCTCAAACTGGGGACCAGTGCCAATCACTGGAATTTACTGGTCCCTGAACCAATGATTTTTACATTGATATTTAGTCAAATGTAACACACAGGAGAATTTCATTAAAATGAAATTATACCAAGCAGGTGACGCACAGTCCCAAACTATGAAAGAAGTTGGTTTAACCGTCTTCATGGCCAAGCAGCTTAAGAAACAACATGCTTGAAGGTTTGGGGTTGTCGACAGCCATCTCCACAAGGCCCTGACCCACCTGTACTGTCGCCCCTGTGGCCATGACGACAGCAGCAGGAGGCGGAGCATGGGGGTTAACACTAGCCATTACGTTTGGCATGGCAACCCCTTCACCATCCTGACTACCCAGGGGAGGCTGCTGTGCACCCACCAGCACGCCGGGAGGGGCGAGAGGGGGAGGCGCGGAGAGGTGTAGCAGGGAGAGGGGAACAGTGGGCCTCTCCGCCCTCCCTCCGGCCCCCACCGCCATCACCGACGGGGCCGCCACCGCCACCGCCACCTGGCCGGCTGCTCCCTCCTTTGCCCCCTCCGCCTGCTCTCTGGCCCTGTCCTTCATGCGTACCCCAGTGTGGACCGACTGGTGCCGCCGCAGGTTGTAGTTGTTCTTGAACTGCTTGTTGCAGATGGCACAGATGTGGGGCACGCGGGTCGGCCGAGACACTGGCTTCACTGGACCAGAGGGAGGCGGGAGACAAAACAGAAAGAAAGAAAGATGATTATGTATTTTCAAAGAAGTGATTTTCTAATAACAACAATTCCATTGAAAAGGAAACTATAATATGACACGATCAGGAGAGGGATAAATGGCTGATATTGAAGAATCAGTAAAAAGTTGAGATACAGCAAATAGGTGAGATTTTGTTCAGCATCTACTTCCAACTCAACCGTGTTTATAATATTCAGTTCAAGGCACAACTGAGAACTAATACTAAAATCATTAGCTGAACAATGAAGTAATGAATCATTTAAGTCATTTATCAAGCAGACATGTCAAACGTTCAGCTTCTCAAAAAGTTGCTGCTTCTCTGTGTTTTCTATCACTGCGAATTGAATATCTTTGGGTTTTATACAAAACCAGCTGTTTGAAAATATGTTGGGCTCAATTTAAAGATTAAGCAACTGACTGATTAGAGAAACTAGAAAACATTCACAGTGGAGAGGTAGAAAAGTTTTTTTTTGCAAAAACAAAGTTTTGCAACAACAAAACTGCTGTTATTTTTATGTGTGTAACTATGACTAACAGATTAATTGACTAACTGTCTCCAATGTAATCATAGGCTGCAGCTCTGCTAATCACCAAGGCTTAATCTTGTTTGGTTACTTAAATGTCAACGTACAGCAAGGTTACATGGGTTTATTCAAATATTTAAGTTAGTAAATTTCTTAGTGTGGAAAAGTAAAAGTATTAGGATTTAATAACAATGATTATACACCTATACTGAACACATTAATATCAAGAAACATTACAATGCTGTTGAACGTGTCATGTGCTGGTTGACTGCTTGTCTATCATATCCTGAACATTGAATTTTGGTGTCTGTATTTGCAAAATACAATTTCATCGAGTGAACTTTTTGACTTTACTTGAATTTTTAGATCCAAATTGACCTTGTAGAATCGAAGCAATTTGCTTGTCTAATTGTTTTTGAACATCAGGCACTTGAACCTGACCTCTGAACATTTCAGCGAGGGGAATTCAGACCATGTACAGTCAGACAGATAGTTTCTGAAGTGTTTAGAAGTGATTACATTTCACATTTTGGTATTCAGACGCTTATAAGATTCACATCTCTTATGGACATTCCCTCCATGTGTCCCGTCTTTCCATCTGTCTCTACTGGGCTTTTATCACCTGACTGAGTTCAGCACAGACACTGGATTATCCAAATCAGATTTCACTGATGTTTTTCACTCTCATCAGCTCCACAGGTGCAGAGTGCAGTGCAGTGTCCCTCACCAGGCAGGGGTTCCTCACTGAGAGCAGCAGTGTCCACAGTTGAAGGAGGCTGTGCTATGTGCTCTGTGGGTGGGGTTTGGGGAGAACTCGTATGCACTGGCATGAGCTCTGATTGGAGGCTCCCCTCCACTTGGTTTTGGGTGGGAGTATTCTGGAGAAGCAAGTAGAAGGCCATCACCAAAAGTAAACACAAGTCACAGCATTATCTTGAAGGTGCTACGTTGTCATACAAGATGTGAGGACTGCAGGACACCCACTGAGTGGCCTGTGAGAAAAGGCGCGCAGTAAAAATGAGAAGCAGAGAGAAAAACAAGGGCCAGTAATGCCTGCTCAACAAGCCTACCTGGAAGAGAAAATTGCTCCAAGCAGCATCCATTTTGCGCCACAGCGATGGAGATTATAAAGTCAGCTCCTGATTGAGATCGAGGACAGCAGCCTTTGCATTGTTTTGATCGGCCCACCGATGATGATTGAGGCGCAAACAGTCGCCTGTCCTGCAGCAGAAACGACGGGCTCCTGGATTCTCTTGAAAAACGTGAATAAAGTCGTCTGCAAAAATATGCTTTTCTCATTGAGGTAGCCTAATGCTGTCAATTAAAATGCACGCAGCTGTTGACTAACGCAGGCTGCCGTACACAGGCAGGAGTGGAGCAGGCCAGGTCCAATAATGGCCTGTTTCTCTTTGACTTTGGTTTCTAACTTTAATTCATTAAACACTAATCTCACTAAAACGCAACATCACCCAACAAAACTGCTCTCAAAAACCAAAAAGAAAATCGCATATTACAGTATCACACTTTAGCAATAAACATAAACAATTCTACGTGAAATAAATGCATTTTTACGCAAGAGAACAAATATGGGTTATAACACACGCATCTGGTAGCACAGCAGGTCATGCTTTGTTTTTAATTTATGAATCTATTTTTCCGATTTCCCCCAATAGGCCAATCGGGTGTTTGTCGAAGCCTCGCTGTTGGATTCAAGCCCTGACCCCGGCGAGCGGCGCTCTCGCCGGGCCGCAGCCTATCGCTCCACCTCGGCCGTTCAGCTGCGAGGATGTCATCTTTCTTTTTTTATCGCCCGCTCTCCCTCCTCCCTCCCTGTCTCTTTCTTCCTTTTCTTTTTTAATTCCTCTTTCTTCTCCCCCTCCTCTCCTTTCCTCGCACCGCTATGTCCCACTTGCTCTTAAAGGGATAGGGTTTCCTCTTTGGACACCCCCCTCTCATTTCCGTCTCCCTCGGCGGAGCCTGTCCTCTCCCCTTCCTTCCTGGGATTTTCGGCCGACACAAAATGCACTACAGTGTTTTTTTTTTTTTCTTTCTTCCTCAGGCCAGCTGGAACAGATCTCCCGCACCGCAGAAAACAGCCAGAATGACTTTCCATTAAGGGAGAGATGACAGACGCATCTTAAAGGGCAGTGCGCACAGATCCTCCCAGTCAGCCCATAATAATGATGTCAGAGTCAGATATAGTACACAGGACGAATAGCAGCTCAGGATACACACACAATAGATGAGAAATAGATCAGGATAATTGTTTGCGTTATATAAATACAGATAAGAAGATAATATATGAATATGATAGTGTTATTAGCCTATTTATAATTCCAAGGAGTGAGAATCTATAATAAACAATAAACTAAACCTGAAAGATTACTGGATTAATTGATTAGTCAAGAGATCAAAATTTACTAGCAGCTACTTTTATGATTGAATAATAATTTGAGCCACTTTTAAGTTAAAATCCCCCAAATCTACTGGTTCCAGCTTCTGAAATGAAAACTGAATATCTGATAAATTAATATATTTTAATGTTTATGCTGTGAAAAATTGCAATGAGCATATATATATATAAATAACTATATATATATATATATATATATATATATATTATATATTATATAATTTTTTTTCTTTCAATTTCTGTCATATTATGGACCAAATAATTCATTGAGAAATTGAGAAAATCGTCTCCTGTTTAATCAATAATAAAATCATTAGTTGTTGCCCTACACAAGGATTAATGCCCATCACCAAACATTTGCACTATTTTCCTACTAGATTTCATATTACTAAAAAATAACAGGCAGACTGACTGATAAGTAGAATAATTTAATGTTGCAGCTAATGATTATTTTTGTTATCGATTGATCTGTTGATTATATTCTGGATTTAAAGAGAAACAACAACAACAACAATAACTTCTTCACAGTTTCCCAAAGCCCAGGTTGACATTGTCAGATCAAACAGCCAGCAGTCAGAAACAGCAAATGTTCACATTTGGTATTTTTATCTTTAGAAAAATGGTTTGAATGAAGAATTAACTTCTGTCAATTGACTTATCTTGTTTCAACTCTAGAAGTTAGTTGCAGCCCTGTAAAAAACATCTTCATTATATTGTCATCAGAGCAAAGTACATCAAATCCAGACAAATTAATGTGTTAATATCAATTTATTATCTTTTTTTTTAAATTACTTTTTAAAGCACCCCATTTCTTTTCCAATACATGTGTTAAGACCCTTCTTCCTTCTCCTCCTCAAGCTTGGATTTGCTTGATTTGAATATTTAATAAGGATTTCAAACCCCCCCACCCCTCCCCCCTCCCCCTCCACAAAAAAACAAAACAAAACAAAAACTCTGTAATACACAGATGAGCCTGTGTTGCTTCCTGTGTTGCTTCTTCTTCGTCTTCATCCTTCATTCAGGCATGGCGCAGACACTGAGACTCCCCTGCTCTCGCCACAGCCACAGCCACAGCCTCTGACACTGACAACAACCCGTCTACAAACACTACCACACTGATTTCCCCAACACGTAGGCCGTCCCGAACCCGCCAGTCTTAGTTTATATAAGGAGTTTATGCATGCACTGAGATTCCAACCAAGCATAAAGTAGTAGGTTATACAGGGAATTGTCTTGAGCTGGTGTTTCTGAGTCATACAAACAGCAGGGTGATTATCTTCTTTCTTATTTTTTTTTTCAATTAAAATTGTTTAAAAAAACAAAAAACAAAAACCGAACAAACAAACAAACAAAAAAAAAAGTCCAGTTGTTTGTGAGCTCCCTCAAGAAAATCACAGCCCACAAGAACAGAGAGCAAAACCTTGTGGCCTCAGGAGCATCATGTGCCTCCTGCTCATGAAACACTGATTGGTGTCTGTCTGTATCTGTGAGGACGGGCTGCTCCGGTCACTGCTGCTGTGCCGGCACAAGAGGGTGCACGTTCACAGCAGCTCAGTCGACGCCCGTCCTCCCTCCCTCCCTCACTTCTTCTTCTTCTTCTTCTTCTTCTTTCTCTCCCTCTTCTTCACACACTTCCAGCTTGTTGCACTGGTTGCATGCTGCACCCTTCAGCAGTCAGATTATCAACAAGGATTTTGCACTCTCTCTCTCTCTCTCTCTCTCTATTTTTTTTTCTCTCCATGCTTCCTCTCTGAGCATCTGTGTGGAAACTTATTCCTGAACTGAAAACAAATAAATACAAGGGAAAACCAGCATTTACATTCCAGTGGCCAATTTTAAAATCTTTTTTTTTTTTTTTTTTTCCTATAAGAGTCCAGAGGAGGAGGTCAGAGTTCACGTGAATAGTGGGGTGTCGCTGTTGTAGGAGTGTCTTTTAAAATTCAATTGTTTTGTTGTCTAAAAAAAGTGGCCATATAACTAGACTTTACCGCTCGACACACATACATAAATCATTAACAATTATTAATAATCCCTTATTAATAATCATTAATACCTTGAACACACACCATACCTGACAATGCAACAGTTTGTTTTTTTATCATCTATTTTTTTTGTACAGTCAAAAGTGGGCCCTTTTCTTCTCGCAAGAAAATGTGAACATGATTACAACAACAATTACATCAGGATTAGTTAAGGTAATATTGACACCTATAGAAAATGCAGTCGGAGTTGTCGCTCTAAATCTTGAAGTCAATACTCATTTGAATATATCAAAATTACTATCATTATCTTTGTTACTCTATAAAACCAAATGACTTGTTTTTGTTTTTAATATTCCCATAAATATGTACAGTAAAGATCAAAAATGTGGGACAAGTGATCTTAAATGCCAGTGAAACTTGGACAGGTACGGTACATTTCAAATGTGTTTGGTCATGTTTACAAATGGTTTTTTTTTTGTACATCTATTTCATGCATTGGAGTGACTCCCATAGACACCTATGTTGTTTAGATACTCAATATGTCATGGATGCCAGAAAGCATTTTTTTTCTTTTTTTTTTTTTTTTTTTTTTTTTTTTGTATTTTGTATTTGTACATGTCCTCACAAACGTTTCTCCTCCTCATCCCAGCTGAATTTTTTTTTTTAGAACGGAGTCTCTTGCCTTTACAAACATTCTGTGGATTCGTATTCGGCTTTAAATCATCTTGCAGTCATCAAATAAAAATTTTGATGGGCACGACATCCCTTTAAGAACCCCTTAAAGGCATTGGTGACGTTCCAAGCAACTTGTTTTTGTGTTTTTTTTACACTTAATACAAAAAAAAAATCAACAAAACATCAACAGTTGTAAATCAATAAAAAGTGTTTTCCAGTTTCCACCAGTCTGGAGACTGAAGTAACCCATCCTCTGTGATTCTCCCCCTTTTTTTTTTCCCTTCCTGGAGCCCGAGTTGTGAGTGCTTGCTAGATAATATCTGGACACTACAGACTACATACAAGCACATACACAATGCAAAATAACCCCATCACTTTCCTTTTTTCTTCCCCCTGTCCTCTCTCTTTCTCCATTCCATCATAGAACATCATAGAAGAAGACATGGCTGCTGTCCCCCTCTCTCTGCAGCTCAGGGAGAAAAAAAAGGCTAAAAGTCCCTCCTTTCACACGTCCTATCTCACTTTTATACAGGCGGTAACAAAGATAAAAACATTAAACAGAAACCTCCTCTTTTTTTCATCTAATATCACCTTAATCCAGTGGTATTATAGGTGGTTACATTCCTCCCTCCCTCCTTTATACCTGTGAGAATGGGAGAAAAACCTCTCTACCCACCCTGAGTCTAAAGAAGCAGGGTGCAGCTCAATAATGTCAGTTTGTCCTCCCTCTGCCGCAGATCTCTTTGCCCTTCTGTGCATTAAGAGGAAAGGGCGATATCCCCAAATCCTCTGCATTCCAGCTAATCTGAGAATCGAGATCAGTCCAAGAAAAGGTTCAAGGCAAGGAGGCAAGCTGAGAGTATTGAGGTGCAACCTGTGATAGCTACCTTCCTAAATCACTCCCTCCCTTCTTGCTACCACCCTGTCCGCTCTCTTCCTCCTGCTGTCTAAGAGTAGGAGAGGTGGGAGCCATTAGAGATGTGAGAGGTGACTGAGGTGCTTCGGCTCAGGACTCCGTCGCTGCCCCCGGCGCCTCCGGGCCCCCCGCCGGACGCCGTTCTCCTCAGAGGCTGGGGGCTATTCCTCAGGGCCATCAGGCTCGGGGCACCACGCACACCCAGCCCACCGCCACCATATATCCCCCCCTGCGAGGAGGAGGAGGAAGAGGAAGAGGACGACGGGCCGGAGATGGACGGTGGGGCAGGCGGCGGGGGAGGTAGCATGGCCAGGGACTGAGAGGAGGAGCGCGAGGGCAGGTGATGGGAGAAGGGCAGGGGGTGTGGGTGGGCCAGGTCACCGCCGGAGCCTCGCACTCCGGCCCACTCCCGCTCCCTCTCCTTCTCCCGCTCCCTATCTCGATCCCGCTCCCGCTCGCGGTACAGCTGCGGTGTGCTCTGGTGGTGGTAGTGTTGGGGCAGGTGGTGGCGCTGGTGGTGGGAGGAAGACGAGGAGGAGGAGGAGGAAGAGGAGGCGGAGGAACGGGACGAGTGGTGCACCTCCCTCCCGTCCCGCCCCAGCCCCAGGGCCATTCCCAGGCCGTGGGAGGAAGAGGAGGACTCGCTCCTGCGGTCCCCTGCCCCGCTGCTGCTACCGATGCCGCTACTGCTGCTGCTGTTGTGGCTGCGGCGGGAGTGCTGCTGCGGGGGCATGTTCTGAGGGTGCATGCCGTGGCTCCAGTGGCCGGCAGGGCGGGAGCTGGAGGGCGGGGCATTGGAGTAGCCCTGCTTGGGGTAGGCCTCGCTGGGGATG